AATTTTATTGGTACAGTTGTCCAAAATGGTTGATTTTATACCTGTTACATGTAAAAGATTGTTATCACAACTTAATCGCTTTGTGAATCGTTGAAGCAAGATATTATTTGCACCAGATATCACTACGATCGTCTGAGAACTGCTCACCCTCAAGCACGACGGCCATACTGCGGGCCGATTCTGACTCAATTACACAGACGTCGACGTCAGTTGTGGGCACAGCGACAGCTTTCTGTGGCAATGCACGTTCCAGGCTTCTTGTCACCCGTGGCAACCTCACCGCTGCTGCTTACCGCGATCAGGTACTGGCACCAGAACTTCTGCCTTTTATGGCAGCACATGGACCCGGTTTGATCTTCCAACACGACAATGCCAGACCCCACACAGCAATTTTGACAAGGAATTTCCTTCAGAATGCGGGAGTCAACGTCTTGGACTGGCCGTCAAGGTCTCCCGACCTCAATCCCATCGAACACGTCTGGGATGCTCTTGGCAGAAGTCTGCGCACTCTCCAGAACCAACCACAAAATTTGCAAGATCTTGGCACCATTTTGCAGCAACAATCATGTGTTCACAAGCATCACAAGGTCCATGCGGAGGCGTTGTGTGGCAGTTGTCAACGCACATGGTGGCCATACACGGTACTGAACTTGTGTGCCATCAGATTCTCGTGCTTGGGACTTATGATTTAAACTGTTGATGTTATTACCGAATACCGTAGGTGCTTGGAACAAATTATGGTTACCACCGTTAATTAAAATCCTTCTTTGGACATTAATGATTAAAAATTACCTTCTCTGATACATTTGTCCGTTGTATATCATATATGGGATTACTTTTAAAAATGTGAAGTTTTAATTTGACTTAGTATATATGCTAACATACCTTTAAAAAGGTCCCTCATCACTATGTCTGTTTACAATCCACTGTTTCCGAACTTCTTCATTTTGTTAATGTCTTTTTGCGCTTTGTCTTTACGTCTTTCACCACAGCAGCGTGGTAAACAGCAGTGCTGGTCCATACCATATGTGTATACCGAGTCTCGTTTTGAATGTTTTTAGCGGGTCGCGCTAGCAGAGGGTATTCACATGCATAAGATCAGGGAATTCATTGCTCGGTCCGGCCTCTTCATAGAAATGCTAAAATATTGAATTTCAAAACATTCTGCTGGAGCGAAAATCACTGACTATGACTGTATTTCTATGTTTAAGAAATCATTACTGCACGTGTAAGTTGCAACATTAATATATAGGCTTTTTGCGAATTTGTGTCATTTTGAAACTAAAACATAAAACTTTAGACATCTCTGAAAAACTTAATAATATTCAAGAGAGCGGACAGCACTGTCCACCTGTTCGTACTTTGATGTGCATAAAGTACGATTTCGATCTGCTCTAACTGAAACCACTGTCGTATTTGTTTACAGTGTGTCACAGCTGTCTAGCATGTGTCATTTCAGCAATATGGCCTGTTTACTAAATGTCGATATTTCTGACTTTGTAGTATTATCCTTGTTTCTAACATGTGCAAAATCTTAACTTGCTACTTGTTGTCATTTACGCGTATTGAATAATGCACAAAGTGAGGAAACTAGTGCAAATTCTCACCTTCGAGCAGACGTAGGTCCCATGGAAAAAATGGTGACTGATCGTGAAGCATACCGAACATGCTGGTCCCGCCTCAAACATTTTTCTCCCGACCCTATGGGTTTTGGTAAAGGAATAATCTAATCTCAGCGATACGTAAAGGATACCGCGAATTAGAATTACACAGCCCGTATGTACATCCCTTCACAGGCATCGTTTGAGCCTGGAAGTAAATCTGCATTGGCCCAAACTGACGCATGCGCCAGTCTTGATTTACAGGCTGGATCGGTCTGTTGCCATACTCTATTGGTATGGACTAAATGTCCTTTTTCTGTTTCTGTAATGCTGTTATTTTGCAAGGTAAAGTACCTTGTAAGTTTCACAACATGTCTTCGATCCATATATGATTAGATTATTGAAAACATGAACCCCAAAACTTATCCGTATTTCTTTTTCTGTTTAATCTAGTTCATGAGCGCCATAGCAATAAGTGGTTCAAATTAGATTTTGTCTTTTGAAATGGTAAATTATAACGGTTTTTTCTGTGTCAACAGATTGTGCGAGACCTATCGCTATCAGTTTCTGTATGGATGGACAAGCCTCAAGAACAGCCAACGAATTTTCATACATGAAAAGCTTAGTGTCTAGCCTTGTTGACAGATTAAGTCTATCACAGAGAGGTCTTATAGTGTCCGCGTTCTCATATGGGTATACAATTACATACCAATTAAGGCCAACATCTCAATTAGCTCTTTTCAAAATCTTTGTATCCCGTATCCCTTGGTCGAATTATGGCGGTAATACGGCATTGTGTTTGAAGACATCAAGATACTACATGTCCCAGATAACCACCCCTGTCAACCGAATCACAGTTCTACTCACTGGCCCAAGCACCCTAAACATGCTGCTTGACGTAACTGAAGGAATATATGCCCGTCGTTCTGGAATATTGGTGTTTGGCGTAGGAATAGGAGGAATAAGTCCATCTCTTCCTCACGTGGTAACCAGTCAGCAATATATGTATAGGGTACCAACTGGCGCGGAAGGTTTGGGCAACCCTCATCTTGTCAATGAAATATTGCATCGAATATGTGGAGGTGAGTACACGGGTTTATACATGTACTTCTGTAAGTGTACATAATGTGTGAGTAAGAATTTAAGTATTCGCACAATGAAAGATCATTTCGTGTAATCATATGAGTTGTTAGTCGACCAGTTGAGGTGACATGTTTAATAGTTCGTATGTTCCTCACTAAATCGCTTGTATGCTTTACATAAGCTAGACATATCGTGCATATTTTGCAATTGCGCCTCGTCATCTGTTGCGTTTTGCTTACAGATGGTAGCTCCACAGTTAAGCATCGGTTTGTCTAAATTTGGGGTATTTGGCAGTAGCTCATAAGCATGCCTATATGCAATTTAGGTTGGTTCACAATCACATTGCCAGTCTAGAATTGGCGTGGTACAAGTTACCTTATAGATAACACTTTACTATCAATCAATACATTATGTGTTTGATGTGGAACGTAGCAGTCAGCAATATTCACACCTGACTAGAAATGTTTGTTTGTTGTTTAACATCGCACAATATTCCAGCTATGATACGGCGGTCTGCAAATAATCATTTAGATGAATGTAGATCTCATTTCTCGCCAGGTTAATAAATGGCTGATCTGTCCAGTACCAAAGAAGTAATAGATCATATGCAAATTACTAAATTATAAAGGGTCTGTTTTCTGACGGTATGATCAAGAAATCATAAGTATGTATTTATGACAACTGAGACATAATGACATGAAACGTTTTGTTGATCTCTACTTCAAACGGAGGGATCACAGCTTCAAACAGAGTCATTTGGATAGGTTATATAAACGACACAAACAAAAGATATTGACATTCTTAACCCCATTTGGCAGAAATACCATCTTAAAGACACTGTTATTGCCAACACTGCATTATCACCTACACCTTCTCCTTAGGTTATAGATAAGCTTCAAACGTATGTTTACCTGAAACGGAATACCACAATTTTATACAAACATTCCATATCGCTCAAATAGAGATATCAAAGTACATATTTTGTCTCATGAACACTGAAGGATTAAAAAATTTTTTATTGAAGGTAATGGTAGCTTATCAACCCTTATTAATAGTAGTATATCAGCAACAAAAAAGTACATATATTTGAGATATGACCTAAAAGTCTAATACAAAAAGTATTTCCCAGGGAGCGAAATCACGATTGCTAAGTGTAATGTATAATTTTGATCATAAGAGAGTTTAACAATACATTAAGATGTAAATCCAACTTTGTTTAATAGAAAGGTTTTAACAATCCCAACAAATACACATGTAAGTGTGAGAGGAAACATGCATCAGCATTACGAATCAATATGGGTATAAACAATGGAACTATTGTAATTGTAGATATATATTTACTAATTGGCGAAGTAATTGGTAAAGGACACTTTTGGGAGAGGGATGGGGGTCATTCGTGCACATTTGGGAGAGGGATGAGGGTCATTCGTGATATGCACAATGAAACTCACTCGTGTACACAGCATGTGAAAAGTTGCATGCGGGGCATAGCGATGCCTATTCTGTCCGCTCACCTTGATCAGCTTGCCAATGTATTTGAAATGTGCTCGCGTCTGAATTTCATCTTGACAGTATCACAGTGAAAGAGAAGACTGGCCCGATATATACTCCAGACCGATTGTGAATGTACATATTTAAGAATTAACGTTTACTTTGTATGAGTTCATTGGAGTTTACACCTTCATAGAGCGATGGCTAAACTGTGTAACGTTGGTCAATTCTTAAAATCTTTGCTATCTCTATTTAGTGCCTCGAAGGATTGGATACACAATCTCATTTGGTATGTGTGACGCAACGGAGGAGTCTTTCTGTGTTGTCATGGAACGTATGGCATGACCACACAGAAAGTCTCTTCTGTCGGGAAGTCATTCTTCCGAACTTGAGATCATATTAAAGTGAATATGTTTTAAATGTGAAGTTTATACGATTTCAGTTAGTCGAGAATCCAGTAAGACAACAGCGAAACCAACGCCATTCGCAAATATATCATTTATACATTTGTCTGTTATTCTCAAAATGGCTGACTGACGGTGTGACACACACACACACACATACATACGCACACATCTATCTATCTATCTATCTATCTATCTATCTATGTCAGATAACTTCTCGTAATGATATGGCCGAAATATTGCCGATGTGACGCTAAATTTTAACTCACTTTAGTTGACAAGATAAAAGGGTTCGAATTTTTGCTTACCCTTTTTAACTTTTGGATGGCATATTGTCTTCTGTTGTACGACATGACTGTAGGAATAAAAAAAACATATGTAATCCGTTATTTTAATGCTCATATGGTTGGTATTTGTGTAGGTCTACCAATTAAGGCTGCAGTAGAAAATACACCTGTTTCCGCACTAAGAAGTACTCCAATTCCTGTACCTGCAGCAGGAATTACTGCAAGTCATGTGCCTACTTCAAGAAATACTTCAGTAACTGCGACTGGAAGTACGCAAGTTCCCGTTCCTGTAGCAGGAAATACTCCAGTTCCTGTCATAACATCAAGAAATACCCCTGATCCTGGAACAGGAAGGACCCCAGTTCCTGTACCTGCCGCAGCAAGTTCGACAGTTCATGTTCCTACTTCAAGAAATACTTCAGTAACTGCCACTGGTAGTACACAAGTTCCCGTTCCTGTAGCAGGAAATACTTCAGTTCCTGTCATAACATCAAGAAATACCCCTGATCCTCGAACAGGAAGGAACCCAGTTCCTGTATCTGCCGCAGCAAGTTCGACAGTTCATGTTCCTACTTCAAGAAATACGTCAGTAACTGCCACTGGAAGTACGCAAGTTCCCGTTCCTGTAGCAGGAAATACTCCAGTTCCTGTCATAACATCAAGAAATACCCCTGATCCTGGAACAGGAAGGACTCCAGGTCCTGTATCTGCCGCAGCAAGTTCGACAGTTCATGTTCCCACATCACAACATATTTCAATTACTGCAACTGGAAGCACGCAAGTTCCCATTCCTGTAGCAGGAAGTACTCAAGTTCCAGTTAGTACATCAAGAAACACTGCAAGAAGTACTACAGTTCATGTTCCAAGACATACTTCAGTTATTGAAACAGGAAGTACTCCAGCTTCCACTCCTGAAGCAGGAAGTACTACAGTTCATGGTCCAAGACACACTTCAGTTACTGAAACAGGAAGTACTCCAGCTACCACTCCTGAAGCAGGAAGTACTACAGTTCATGTTCCAATACACACTTCAGTTACTGAAACAGGAAGAACTCCAGTTACCACTCCTAAAGCAGGAAGTACTACAGTTCATGTTCCAAGACATACTTCAGTTTCTGAAACAGGAAGTACTCTAACTCCCACTCCTGAAGCAGGAAGTACTACAGTTCATGGTCCAAGACATACTTCAGTTACTGAAACAGGAAGTACTCCAGCTCCCACTCCTGAAGCAGGAAGTAATACAGTTCATGTTCCAAGACATACTTCAGTTACTGAAATAGGAAGTACTCCAGCTACCACTCCTGAAGCAGGAAGTACTACAGTTAATGGTCCAAGACATACTTCAGTTACTGAAACAGGAAGTACTCCAACTCCCACTCCTGAAGCAGGAAGTACTACAGTTCATGGTCCAAGACATACTTCAGTTACTGAAATAGGAAGTACTCCAGCTCCCACTCCTGAAGCAGGAAGTAATACAGTTCATGTTCCAAGACATACTTCAGTTACTGAAATAGGAAGTACTCCAGCTACCACTCCTGAAGCAGGAAGTACTACAGTTCATGGTCCAAGACATACTTCAGTTACTGAAACAGGAAGTACTCCAACTCCCACTCCTGAAGCAGGAAGTACTACAGTTCATGTTCCAAGACATACTTCAGTTATTGAAACAGGAAGTACTCAAGCTACCACTCCTGAAACAGGAAGTACTAGTGTTCATGTTCCAAGACATACTTCAGTTACTGCAACGGGAAGTACTCCAGTTACCACTCCTGAAGCAGGAAGTACTACAGTTTATGTTCCAAGACATACTTCAGTTACTGAAACGGGAAGTACTCCAGTTACCACTCCTGAAGCAGGAAGTACTACAGTTTATGTTCCAAGACATACTTCAGTTACTGAAACGGGAAGTACTCCAGTTACCACTCCTGAAGCAGGAAGTACTACAGTTCATGTTCCAAGTAATCCTGTATCTACAATTATTGGGATAATACCTGTAACTGGGAATGTGCGTACATCTTCAAGCAGTACAGCATCGGCAGCTACACTTGCAACTTCGCTCACTCAAAGAACGGACGGCACTGCAAGATTTACATCATTAGATGCAACCAACACGAGCGACTCACTGAAACCTGTTTCATCGTCTCCTGTCCTACCTTCCGGTCAGTACAAACTCCCTCTATCATTATCTCATAAGGAGGAGAAAGGTAGGCGATCGTTTTAAAAAATCAAGCTGTCCTTCTGTTAGAAACAGTAAATGTGTCCGCATTTTAGCTAACCTCACAAAAAGTCAAGTGACTTCATGTCATGGCATGGCTGTCGCCTTCGTCTGTAAACAGCTACTCCTCAGCAACCACCAGACCAATGAAGTTCAAATTTCACATGGTTGGATTCAGTTTTAAATATGACCAACAGCAATACTGAATTCTTTTATTAATGACCATTACAGAGCAATTTTGACTCCAACAGTAATGAACACCTTGTATATGTCGAGTTTTGTTTGCGATATTGCACCTTTGCACTTTGGCCATGCTCTTTACGGTCTGAAAATGCGATGTCTACTCTCTAAATATCATAAGAAACAATTAAACCAATGAAACTGAACTTACAAATGCTTGTTCCCACCAATAATTACACCTGGATTTGCTAAAGAGGTTCGAATCCGCCAAGATTTAACATGTATCTCATACAGAAAACTAAAACTTCTTGTGGCCATTACTCAGTCATGTTTTTTTCAAAACAATTTTTTGCAATTAGTAATAGACCTCGATACATAGGCTCAAGTTTCTCGATATTACCATTTTTACGTCTATTTGACCGTTGTCCTTAATTATAGACCATGCTCTTTAATTCTCTCAAACTGCATTTCTTCACATATTTTATGCCAGACGATTCATAGTGTATGCATAGGAATGAGAAATGCAAAACATAAAATTTGTGTGTTAGCATTTCCGTGAAAACAAATCAAATCAAATATGAAATTAATGATGGTATTATTTTCAGATCTGTGCCTTGGATGTATTGTAACATCAGGATTTGGTTTCAATCCATATCCCGGTGATTGCTCTAAGTATGTGCAATGTGCGCCAAAGGCAGCTGGTTGGACAGTTTTTCTGCGAGAATGTTCTCTTGGACAATTTTGGAGCCAAGATGCTCTGACCTGCGCACCAGCGGAAACTGTAATGTGCAGTTCAGGTTTGTACAGCATATGTTTATTTTCATGTGACCATATATTAAATAAATAATGACTATTATTCTATTCTTCCTGCAGTGTTTCATCGTACCACAAACAACCATATAATTTACAGGTTTAAATATATTTACCCGTATCTAAATAATGATGACTCCCTGAAAACAATCCGATCTCCATTTTATGAACAGAGGGTGGAGATTAATATTTGTATTTACTGTATATTCTCACTATTCTCACGTCGATCATCTGTACCTTATCTCCCCAAATTGATTGCCATATCTAGCACACTTTCAATGTGATCGTTCGGCCATTGCGTTTATCTCCGTTGCACAACTACATCTACGGGGAACAACTCACTACCTTCTTAAAAATAACGTTATTTTAATTTCAAGTTGCGAGCGAATGTTCGGATATCCAGAAAGGACGTCTTGGTAGAACAATGTTGTATCGTAAAATAAGCGTCATTCTTCGTTACTCTTTGTGATTCGGCTATCTGATATAGGTTCTCAAATGCGTATTGTGAAAATTGTCAACTGTGTTTACGCTGTTACAATGTTATTATATTACATCCAACGTTATTCTGTGGAGTCCCATCGGATTGGGTGCGCATGCGTCAGGTGTGATCGGACGTGTTCACGTCGAGCTGATGAAAAGAGTTCAAAATGGACTTATACACATCAACAATAACAACGAAACACGGTGTAAGATGCACAAAACGTATGTGAGTACGGTTGTGACGAAAATGTTTCGATAAATTACAATTTAATGTCGTTTTAAGAAGCAATAGTCTCACATCATCAGAAGGCAATCGCTTGTCAATCGCTGTCACGCACCAGTCACCCGTGACAATCACTGATTTCACGTGCAATATGGGAGATTCACTTGAATGTTGGCGAGGCCGTATCGGGTGTTTTTACACCATGTAGACGCAATCCACGTCGATTATTGAAAGAACTAAGAATATCGGGATCATATTTGTCAAGACATCTGAAGATATTGCTCATGTTGAATTTGTTTATCCATGTGAGTGGATGTTGGATGTCTTATCATGGTCAAATGTACACCAGTTAGTTTGACAAGACAATATGCAAGACGTCATGTGTTGTTGGTGAAATTAACAACGTTTATGCCTGTATTTACATCCCGTACATACCACGACTCTTACAAATATGTTCTGAACCCAGGCCCGCGGAGTCGGGGCAGTGGCGGAAGGAGTGCTCGGAGTATGGCAACTAGACAGTCTACTCTAGCGTTCACGACGTTAATGCAAACAACAGCCATTCTGGCCAATACGAGGATGACAGCACTGATGTTTTGAAGATTATAAGATCGGACATTGGTAAAGTTAATAAATAGTTTGATACAGTCAGAAATGAAATAAAAGATGAATCATCGAAGTTGAGGTCGGAAAACGTCGAACTTAAAGAAAGAATATCTAAACTGGAACATCTTCTTGATAAAGAAGGCCTAGAGCAGGAGGAACAATCTTATTATTCATGGCATAGAGGGCGTGATTGGAGAAAAGTGGGAGGTGACTGAGAAACTTGTGAGGGATTTTCTCCACGATAACCTTGGGGTGGTCACTGCTGACACTATCGATATCGAGCGAGCTCATCGTCTAAGAAGTCAAGGAAGACAGAAGCCGAAAATAGTGAAGTTCCTGTCCTACAAGGACAAGGTAAGCGTCACTGAACTTGCCAGAGAGAAACTAAAAGGAAACGAGATGTTACATGTAGCGAACGATTATAGAGAGTCAGAAAGATAAGAGCAGGGCTTATCCCTTATATGGTGGGTGCACGTAAAAGATAAGACTGCTTACCTATCCTATGACAAGTTAGTGATAGACGGCGAAGTCTATGTCCTTGAAAATGATGACCTCAGAAAGATCAGTAATCGACTCACTTACACCAACCGGGAGTCACCGAGTCGTAATCGTGGGTCTCATGGAGGGACGCCTTATGGACCCAGGAGGCGCGGCAACGGGAGTACTCATGGGGAGTCTGTTACAGCCTAGGAAGCCGACCGTGGCACAGATTAGAGGACCGATACATATCTACTTGTACGGGACACGACACCATCTACACTGCTCAATCTTAATGTGTGGAACATACAAGGAATACATTCCCATCTGCAAGACAACACCTTCATGATATTTTGTGAACAATTTGATATTTTCGGTTATGTCGAAACTATGCAGTGTGACTCCAGTAAGCTAGTAAACTTATTTCCTGATTATTTATGTCATGTAGCTCCAGCAAAGAGAAAACGGCAGTTTGGTCGGTTTTCCGGTGGTGTTGCTGTTTATATACGCTCGAGATTTGAACACTTGTTTGAGAGACTATTTCCAGAATGGCAAAATAGTATATTTTTTAGAGTTAAGGAAAATTTCATCATTGGGTTTCCATACATACTCCCTGAAAAATCCACGTTATACGAGGACCCTGAGACTGATGGTATTGAAGAGTTGGCCTCTAAAGTATCAGCTATTAAATCACGCTATGTATGGTCGTGATACACCTATCCTTTTATTAGGGGATCTTAATGCCAGAGTTAGGTCGAATGGCGATTTTTTAATTAAAGATGATCATGACTTTAATTACCTACCACTAACAGATTTGTATTGAGCTGATGACTTTAACGAGACAAAATCAACGCAAGACCTTGTAGTGAGTAAGTATGGGTTAGCTCTATTGGAAGTATGCAAGTTGTGGGGAAGACACATTGTAAATGGTAGGAGAAAAGGTGATGAAGTTGGTTCTGTCACGTGTATTACAAGTAATGGATCAAGCCAAGCTGACTATGTATTAGCAACTACTAACTGTTTTCAATCTGTTATAGATAACGTTGTTCATTCCAGAAGGGACTCGGACCATCTCCCAGTATCTCGTATTTTACAAGTTAAATTAAATTTCAAGCGCTGTTAATGTCGCAAACGATGGTGGTGTAATATAAATGGGCAGATTTAGGACTTAGACAATTCAATGAAGCTGATATATCTGACATTTCGAGTAACACTGTGAATGATTTTCTGCTATTAGTACATTTCGATGTTAATGCTGCCACTGAGAAGCTAGTGGAGCTCTTGCAACATATGGGGAATCATCTTAACGGTAACTGTAACAGTCGACAGGGTTTAAAACGTGTTCAACCTAAATGGTTTGATCATGAATGTGAGCTCGCAAAAAGAACCAAATATTGTCGTCTAAACACGTTTCGGAGATGTCGAACCAATGATAATTTGACTAGGTATTTTCAGTCTAAGAGACACTTCCGCCTTTTGTGCAAAGAGAAGTGCCAACATTTCAACAATACGATCGCGGACGAAATTCGTACAGCAGTTGCAGATGGCGATTGTAAGAAGTTTTGTTTTAAAATAAAAGCACTATTGCAGAACCGTAATGAGACGATACATATCTCGGCAGAGAAGTGGTTTATTTATTTTATGGATTTACTAAACCCGACTCGTTGTAACAGCAGTGATTGATTTGATGCAACTGTCAAGGATTATATGAATGTACTTATGTAACAGATATAAGCTATTGTATGTACTTCTTATGTAAGGTGTACATGGGAAAAAATTTAGAATTCTAAAAGATATGTATGACAAGGTCTCAGCTTGTGTTAGAATCGGACATTCGAAAACTGAAATATTTACAACATCATGTGGAGTACGCCAGGGATGTTTGTTGAGTCCTGTTTTATTCATATCTTTTATGAATGAGCTTGTAGATGAAATGAAGAAATGCGGATTGAGAGGTGTTTTTGTTAGAGATGGACTAAACGATTTCATACTGCTATTATTTGAAGATGACGTAACATTGATTGATGACACTGTAATAGGCCTACAAAGAAAACTTAATGTGTTAAAAGGTAATTGTAACAAATGGGGCCTAGAAGTTAACCTGGAGAAGTCATGTATTGTTGTTTTCAGAAATGGCGGATACCTAAGAATTACAGACAAATGGACTTATGATGGTAAACATATGAAAGTAGTATCCCACTATAAATATCTAGGTATTGTCTTCACATCCAGATTAATTTGGTCAAAAGCGTGTGAAACAGTAGCACTACAAGCCAGAAAGGCTATGTTTCCTATTATTACCTTATCAAAGGATTATCCAAACATTTCTCTGAAGGTAGCATCTACAATATTTGACAATAAAATAGCTGCCATATTGTTATAATGTTCGGAAATTTGGGGTTAAACTTTTCGTGCAAATATTTAAAAAATTCAGAGTTTTTACTTGAAACAATATTTATATGTTAATAAAAAAGCATCAACCAATGCTGTACTAGGCGAAGTAGGTAGAACCTACTTATGTGTTAATTATTTTAGTCGTTGTATATAGCATTGGCGCAGGCTGTTTGTAAGTGGATAGTTGTCGATACCCAAAAGCATGTCATGACATGTTGAAATCACAGGATGAAAACGGCAGCCACAACATGTTCGTTTGCTGCTATTAGAAGACGGATTTACGTATGTTTGGATCGCACAGGAGTGTGGCAGCATATAACATGTTATACAATGTTTTAGGCAAAGATGTACAAACATAGAGATTCAGAATTGGTATGCTAAACTTATTTCTTCATCATTTCTAAATCATTAATCTACATATAAGTCTGTATTTGAACCAGAGAAATGTATTATGGAGCTTTGTCCAAACAAAGATCTTCTCCGCATATTATTTAAATTCCGATGTTTGAGCCATAAGTTGGGTATTCAACACTTTCGTTACAATGACAATAGTCAATATTGATTTACTAAAGTGCAAGAAATCTAATCATAATATAATTGAAGATGAATACCATTTCCTTTTAGTTTGTCCATTTTATATGGAAAACAGAAAGCTCTACACACCAAGCTACTATTACCACTATCCATCACGAGCAAAATTTAATCTAGTAGCAACAAAAAATGTTAAGCTAATTAAAAATATTGCTTTATATTTGAAAAGAAATCTGCCTGTATAATGTATCATAAATGTTGTATTGAGATAGTAAA